TGGAAACAAAGTGGTGAAAAAAGCCGCGGATACGCTCATCCCATGCCTCCTGACGCTACTCTGACTGATTGCGACAGTATCAGCTGCAGTGAATCTAGTCAGCCAGAACAACTTCCGTACTCAATGCAATTTCCACGCTTGGGGTTTCTCAACCATCCTAATGGATTTAGGTAAGTTTTGGCGCCAGCCTGCTTCTACCAGTCGTTGTCACTGTGGTGCAGGCAGCCATTGAAGGGAACAAGCTGGCATATCGTATCGTCCGTATCAGTCATTTTCTATCAGTTTGTTTCGCTCACCCGTCTCAACAACAGGTGGAGAACGGACTGGCAGCGCGCCCAACCCTCTCCGCTAACATTCATATGCAGCGAGCAAGACTGCAATTGCAGGACTGCGCCCTACAACCAGTGAAAGGCGATAGCGGGCGCTGTCTTTAGACTAATGCAGTACACTCACTTCACATCCTGTACCAGTCCTCCAAAAAGTTTTCCCGTCCTGACGATGCGGCTGTGTCCTTCCTTCCCACTTGCGTGACCATCGTCCTCGTCCTCATTGTCATGGTAGGTTGCATAGAGCATGCCAACTGCGCGTGTTTGCTAAAGACGTCAGAATGACAGTAGGATTCGAAGTTGTGGTAAACAACAATTGAACTACGGATAGAATAAACAACAAATGCTACAGACAAATAAATAAACTGTAGCAACAGCACAAACAATGGAATCCTAAGGAAGGAATGGATACAAGCAGTTAGGGAAAGGACAGAAGCAAAAGCGCTTCTCCTAGTCTACCGGATAAGCATGATGTTCAAAAAGCGAAGGTGCCGGTTCAAGTCTTCGCAGGAACGAGGCGAGTTGCTAACAACTTACAGTTAACATCCTTGCTATCACGTGTCGTACTTGTAGTGAAAAATAGCTGTTCACAAACCAAAACATAACAAATGTTACTGTACTTACATAGTAAATTACGCTATAGGTTACTGGCCAGAAGGACCGTTAGTAATATATCCTAGTCCTCACCTTACTCTCAGTTTCCTTTGGCTCCCAACGTGCGTCTGCAGAACATTTTCCTGGTGGAACAGCCGAGATCTGGGAGATGAACTCGTCTGCGGCATCTGCCAGCGTGTGCTGTTCCAGGGTGTGGAGAGCCACTTTGCGGAATATCTTCAAATAGAATCATTTAATGTGTAGTCATGGTTCTAGCAAGCGATAGGGCGTATTAAGGGGCATGAGTTGGAGCGCAGCCAGAACAGCTTTGCTAGCCAATTGTTGCGGACTTAGGATGACATCATTGGTGGCACAGCTCGCTTTGGCGACGCTTCCATCCACGCCTCGTCACACGCCCTATCGTTTGCAAGGATCATGAAATACTGGCGGTAATTGTGCGTGGCGAAATACTTCATCAGAATAAAAAGGCTCCTATGGTCCGTGCAATGGAATCCCGCTCACTGTGATAGTTTTCCGAGGGACTGAGCAGAATGAAGATGAAGCGAACTGGCACTGGCAAATCCGGGAGAATTGGATAGAGCTTCTGTGAAAAATCTTAGTTTGATCAGAGCAACTTTGATTTCCCCTTTTGTTGTTTATTTACAACTTCTATTACATTACTCTATTGATGTCCTGGTCACATAGAGACCATCAAGTTATGGACAAAACTGGAACTACGATCTGGAACGAGACTGGTAGCACAGAAAACACGGCAGGTTTAGTTGTAAGAGCGGGCTAAACATTCACGGAGTACTTTACCTTCACATTTTACCGCTGAGTACCTCCACATAGGATCGCAAGGGTCAGTCATAAAAGCTAGTTTGTGAGCAAGTTAGTGTTGGCGGGTCCGAACACTGAATGCTAAGGGATATGGAATTACTGTCATTCCGGAAAAATTCAGTTTCCGATTCCATGCTTGGTTCTCGCCCAGGAGTGACGTTTTCCCTAGCGCCATCTGCCACTGAACTTATTATCATCGAGTTAATGGTTGGTTACTTGGTTACCCAAGGCAGAGGACCCCTACATACAGGTGCTTAAAAGCTAGCTCTTCGGTCGATTTCTGTTATTCCTCGAGCAGAATTCCGGCTGGAGAACTTCCTACCTATCTTAACGATTGCCTGTTCCCTCGGTTTAGCGTTAGGTAAGATCGCAGTTTTTATTCGATTTAGCATAACTTAAGTGTTGTAAAGCGCACCTGTGCGTGCATAAATAAATAAAATTAATAAATAAATCAGTGTGCTAAGGTTTTGAGCTGTGCTGCGAGGGTCTGTCTCCTCAGTTGTCAATCCTGACCAGATTTCAGCAATCTGACGTAATCTTGAAATTAAACTCAATAACCTTCTGAAAACGAGAGCGGCCGCGACACTATGCCATTCCCTTATTACGATTCCAAGAGCAGAAAATTTTTGCAGCCGAAAGTTCCCCTACAGAGGTTACTCGATGTCCGATCATGAATCAGACATCTAATATTGGCGCTAGCCTCATTTGGTGCCACCACTTCCCCCCCCCCCCCCACTTCTCTGTGGTTGGGTAATTCGAAGGCCGTGATCACAATAATGATATTGATTCATGGGTTTGGCGCCACTTAGTGCCACCACTCTTTCCACCAAAAATTGTACAAACTTGTGTACTGGGGTTATTTGGCACCCTGATTACGAATGTGGCATTTATTTTCCAGCGCTAGTGCGGGGCGCTTTGATCATCCGCGCTCTGCTCGGTCTGAGCCTGGAGGGAAAGCCTTAGCAAAGCGGCAAGTGGCGCTTATTGGCACCTTTTGATGCCGCATTTTCGAGTCACAAAAAAGAGTTTCGTATCCGAGATCAGAGCTCCGATTAAGCTGTACAGGCAAAGTATCAGCAGAAACGTTTCTCACATTTTCGGAGTCTTGGTAACGGATTAGTGCCGCAATGTCCGAAAATTTAACAGATAAACAAAATTGAATAAACGAATAAAGAAGCTTCGAGTGCTCGATGTCTATCTGCTCCTCTCAGTATGCGCAACGCATTCTTCGTCCGCTAGGAATGGGAATGACCCAAAGACAGCCCCGCGCTCAAGTAGTACATGGTCGTCCTTCCTTGTGCAAGTAGTCCAGCCCCAAGCTAGAGACTGTCCCACTCTCGCGACTCCACAGCGAGCGAGGAGCGAGCTACAGCCGCTGAAAGTTCTAGTTCTAACGCCCGCCCAGTTGGACCGCCCACTTGCTAGATGCCCTCTGACGGAGAGCCGCTCAGTTGTTCTTTGTTGGGGCGGCGGGCATTAATCGGAACTGCATGTCCTTTTTGCTGACCGCGCTCGTGCCAATAGTAATTCTGCTCCCCTTACATTTTATTCATTAGGAGCACATTCAGTCAAATGCAATCCATCTTGCAAGGTAAAACGTGAAATAACGAGTGGCAATTTTCATATTGCAAAAGCTTGAGACGCACTAAAAGATGCACGCTACCGCAACCCCGAATTCAGACGCTTTGGGTTTTTTGGTTTTGTCAAGGGTTTTTCGTTCGTGCTTTTGTTTTTGTTGCTTTTCGTATTATTTTCTTTGCATTGGATGATATATCTGCTACTGGGAGATGGGAAAACCGATTTGGGGTTACACACGGACCGCAGGGCGGTGTGACTGTCAGGGAGCAATTTTGTTTGTGGTGTTCTTGAGAACTCTTCTTGCTTTTTTCTTCTTTGGGGAATTACTTATCAGCTACTGTTTCATAACTGAACAGCAACTATCCATGACGCTTTATCGCGAGAAGTGTCTTTACTAATGCACCACCGCCCATACAATGACTTGGGGATCAGCCAATCTACAGGTTAGTGCTCCTATCATCTCAGCCCGATGGCCAAGTGTACCCCTTTACAGCCCAGCAGAGGGCTTCGTTTGTCGTACAGTAGGCACGGAGAGCCTATGTTCCGATTTGTTTGTAGGAGATTAGTAGATTAGTAATAAATAAGCAAGAATAAGTAATAAGTACGTATACCTATGGTCACCTTTTGATGTCAGCTTCTAAATCAAAATCAGAAAAGTCGGCATATTATCTGTTTCTTTTGGATAATTATAAACGCTCTACCTGTGCCACTTTCAATCGTACGAAAGCCGAAACAGGTCGATCCAGACAGGACACGTAGCCGGTCAGAATAGCTGCCCCTTCCGTGTTTGTTGGTAGCTTCTTCAGAATTCTCCGATTAGCCTGAAATATTTAGAAAGTACTGCTCAGCTGCCTGAAGTGATTTGTTCCGATATTTCAGTAATTTTGCCTTGACTTACTCCGTCTGTTGACGTGCATAGTTCCCTCACCGTTTCTGAAGGGCAAAAAAAATGTGTGAAATTGTCTCAAGTAACTGCCGACAAATGTTTAACTGAGCATGAAGGCACAATCCATGATTAGCTGTCCTAATGGGTAGTCGGTTTCGTAACCATAGAGGCCATAGCACTTCTGCATCAGGAATGCGCCGCGCGCTGGGGAACCCTCAGCGGGGGGACGGTAGAATTTGATCCTAGAATTTATTCAAAAAGTTGGTTATTCGTCTTCGCATCTGCGCTATCCGCAACGTCTGAAGTCTTCCACTAAGGACGAGGGTCGCATTTGCTTCTCGCTTTAATAGTTAAATAAAAAAAGTATGCAGTCATTAGACGGCAACCTCCCATCCCGGGGTAGACAGCTTTTTTGAAAGGCTGAAATTTTTTTAGAAATGTAAAAGCAGTAGGTATGGAAGATTCAGTAAGATCAAGAGAAAAGGGTAGATAGGATAGGAAGAGGTGATGAAAACAGAAAAGGGAACTTGGAAAGATCGTATTTTGCATAAATTTTGCCTCAGCGATGGGAAGTTTCTTGTCTGCGATCCAAGTGAGCGACAAGGATGTCAAAATCCTGTTATCAACTGCTATCCACACCCGCGCACGATGAAATACGTCTAATGCAAGTGCCACACGGTGAATAGTGATCTGTGGGAGACGGGCAAGAAGAATCGTAATTTGCCGCTCCGCCGCGCGCGGCGATGGGCGCGGCGTTTTTTCTTAACTCGTGTTAACCTGTCGATTGGAGCACCGGACTTCATGTAGACCCCGTCATCGTAGACATTCATGACTATTTTCGGTTCTGAATTGCCTGTTGTCGCCATCTACTACCTGGAACCATCGTCATTTGCGGGCGCGACGTCGCACGCGACGCTCACCAACGCGGAATTACGATTCTCTTGTCACATAAGCGATCTGTCTCTATACGTGTGTAGTCCCTCGCCCTTCGTCGTCTAATCTCTCTTTCGCGCGCGCGATATTTCTTCACTGAATGCTCACACCTTGCAAAGATAAACTGAGGGAGTGTCGCAACGTCCACCCACCGAATAATTTGCTCTACCCTTGAAATTTCTATTTGAGCTCAATCAGTAGCGACATTCTCTTTCGGTATGGCTCTGACATTCTCTACATTTTCAACAGATCGATCTGATTGGAAAATCCTTACCTTGATGATATCACGTAATGGCTGAGGATGGCTAAGGAGGTCTTGGTCGTCACCATCATCTTCATTCTCATTCTCGGCAAATTTTGCTGTGCCGTTTTCATCTCGAACAATTCGTACGTGTCCGCCGGCTTTTCCTACAAATATCTTGCATTTTTCGGCGCCGTTGGGCTTGGTGGGGGCATTTTGTTAGTTCATTTCGATCATCGACAATGTGCTATGGAACGTGCAATTAAGTTATGCAGCAGCATGAGTTTCCTTTACACTTGACAAGAGTCTAAAGGTCTCACAAGCTTAGGTGTGTAAGTTAACAGTGACTAGTCGATGAAACTAGTGCAAAGGGTGTCCCCCCACTCTTCCGCCCTCCCCCCCCCAAGCCGAGCACCGTCCACTGTTTCTTACTTCCTTCTCTAGCCACGTCGTCAAATGAACGAGTTTGGCTCTGGCTCGTTATGACCTTGATAACTGAAAAATAGGGCACACAGCTGTTGTCGTCGCACAAGCAAGGCGGTTTCGAGGAGGATGGAATGAGCCCGTCCACAGAGTCTCCATGCTTGCTGTTTTCATTGGTGGAGCAAGGCAGCCGGAGGCGGGCACACTCCGCCCCTTCTGACACCGTCCCGGATGATTGCAAAGTAATCAACTACATGTTACATAGAAAGCTCTAAAAGCTGAACACAAACCAAAGTAGTTTTCTCCTGGAACAGCTCCAAGATGATATTTGGGGGACAGCATAACTTGTAGGACTATGTCGGATACTACATTATTCACCAGTCCTCGTTGGCCCCACTGTTTGACGATCGTTCCTGAAACACACCTTTACAGAGAAATGGAAGAATCCTTGGTGAATTACTGTGTTACACTCACTGGCAATGTCATCGAATCCCGTCTCCACGACGTCCAAGAGCACCACTCCTTTCTTCAGGCAATTTCTTCGCTTGCATCAAACCCTGTGAAGGGGTTCATTAAGAATAGCACTCACTGGGAAGTTGTGGGATATTGATCAATTCGGCTAATGGAATTTTTCCAAAGGATATCGTATAGTCGCAATTAGCGGAGCGGGGGTCAGGAGGCATGGAATGATCCTACCATCTGCACGTCGTTCACCAATAGTGATCGATTCGGAAGGAGAGCAACCATCGGTAAAAAAAACCCCTCAGAGAACTCAATCCATGTCCCCCGAGGCCCTTATAAAGGGTTTAGAGGGTTTTTCTCCGTGAAAAAGACACTTCAGATCGTCAACATCCCTCCACCTCTTTTCGAAAGTTTCCAATGAAATATGAAGATGAAGTACCTGCATATGGAGCAGAGTGATGTAGGGCTTGCTGAAGCGAGTAAAGGCACCTTCGACGTCTTGTTCATATTTGATCCACCTGAACAAAGTCTTTTTTCTGAGAGTGGGTTTGATTACTGGATTGTTGCAGCAAATTTGATGAAGTGCGTTCTAATAGATACAGTCCTCATCATTACAAACTGTCGGGGCGGAGAGCCGCGCTGCATTGTGACGCGACAGCGGCTGCGGCTCGGTGACAATGAGCCGATTTCGATGAAATTCGACTGCTTAGCACTATTTCAGCTTTCCGAGCTTGGAAAGCGTAAGTTATTTTCAACAATTTAATTGTACTGGCTCTGATTGCTTCAATTTTTATGTCTATTATTATGCTCTTTTCCTTGTATTTTGCCTTATCAGGCATTTATTCAAATGGCTTACATTCTTTCAGATTCATTCAGAGTCAGTACAATTTAAAATTGTTCAAAATAACTCACCTTCCACTTTCGAAGCTTGAAGAGCTGAAAAAGTGGGAATTCGCAGCCGAATTCCATGGAAATCAGCTGATTCGCCGTCACCGAGCCGCAGCCGCTGTCGCGTCACAGTGCAGCGCGGCTCAGCCGCCCCGACAGTCCGTAATGATGAGGACTGTCGTGCGGTCGCGAGGCGGTTGACGCTACATGGTGTCACAGTTCTCAATTGGCTATGTGGCTCGAGCATACACGTGCAAGTGACATCAGTTAATGAAGAATTGAGCTATCCCTGAGCCTCATTTTATAATGTCTTTTTCTTGAACAATGGTTGATGAGGACTCAATATATAATTTCTATGGGTCTTCTACCAATAAAAATTATATATTGAGTCCTCATCAACCATTGTTTAGGAAAACGACATCAATTAGTGAAAATGGGCTAGTGCTCCATGAACAGTCCCATTGACACGCCCAAGTCAGCAACGAAAAGACTATACGCGCGCAGTGAATCTTTGAGGCAAACAGTGTCTTACTAACAGTTTCTGCAGTTTCTCTACCAGAACACTCGCTATTCTCAGCTCGGTACTAATCACAGAGGGCTAGGGTTTTGAAACATTTTCGCTTTTTGTTATGCCTCTTTCATACCCGAATGCATTCACGTTTATTCTTTTAACCGTTTGTGTTTGGCAAATCACAGATGCACAAGTAAGTGAACGGAAAAATAAGTTTTCGAAGGCTTTTTTGCTTTTCCTCTGACATCGCTTACATCACGTGGCCTCGGGTTGTATTAGTGGGTTTAGCCCATTCTGGCTCGCTTCTAACTTTAGACGTGGTAATCAAAATGCAAGGAAGTAACCAAACCGTGCGCTCTGTTTCCACAAGGATTTTCCGTCACCAATATTATTTTCCAATGTCATCATCTCGGTGAAGATGAGAGGATCATCTTCTGGATGTAACAGCACCAATCGCCGTACATTCTCGACTGGACCTGGAAAGCACAAAATTTGTAGGAGAACGCAGTTTTCAGCACTGAATTCATTCACAGAAACTTCTTATTTCATTTTTTGCGAGCTTGCTTCCAAATTCTTCTCAGTGTGTACTTTGGTTGCCAGTGCAGAGTATCCCAACTCTCTACTGCATGAA